CAAGTACTAAAAAAAACGGGTCGAAAAGTAATTTTCAAATCTGGATAAATCCGTGACATACCAAATTATTCGGGTTTGGCAAAACCAGCTGTCTGGTCGGCTCCTAAAATCAAGTTATAGCTATTAGTGTCTACTTTCTTGTTGATTCTTTTTCCTCACTATCTAAATCTTTGGTTTCTTTCTTTTTTTACCATACTGTCTTCACTATACAACTCCCCCCCCCCCCTTTTTTTTTTCGTTGTAAGCAATAATGCAGTTATCGTCCATACGAGACTATATGTTCTCTTGGCCAATCCCCCAGAGTGGGTAGTAGCCATGGATTAGAGGCTACAAACAAACAAACAAACAAACAAACAAACAAACAAACAAACAAACGGTGAACTGCGTTGAGGCTGTAGACTGACGACTGTTATTTTCCACGTAACAATATTATGAACAATGCAAACCGCATGCCGGGTTACCTGCGGCGTATATTTGCTAAGGCACCATCTTCTTTTAAACTACTGTTGTACAAAATACTTATTCGTTCTAAATTAGAATACGCCCCATGTATTGGGGATCCTTATTGCAACAATCTCATGAACTGACTTGAAATGGTTCAAAACAATTTTGCCCGTTTCATCCTGTCTAACTATAACCGAACCGCCAGCGTAACAACAATGAAATCTACCCTTAGCCTTCAATCCCTAGCAGTTCGACGTAAAATTTCCCGAGTTTTGTTGTTCCACAAAATATTTTATCACATATGCATGAAGAAATCATTTTGCCTCCATTGTACGTTTCTTCTCGCCTTGATCATGCTTACAAAGTCGGTATTGCATCAACACGAACGGCCGCTTTTTCTCAATCATCTACGTACGTACGTCATTAGAATGGAATCGCCTTCCCTCTCCTTAAGCAACCATTGTAAATCACACGCTTTTCGAAAATGCCATAGTCAACAATTTGTAATTCTTGCTTGTTGTGTACAGTTATGCTTGCTTCCTGCGTTTCTTTTTTGTTTTGCCAAATTTTGTATAAGATGCTTGTTTGATATGTTTTTCTCTCGCTGCTTTTTTCGTTATGCTTATGAATGTACCCACTCCCCTCTATAATGTCATTGGCTCTGAGGGTATTGCTAATAAATAAATAAATAAATAAATAAATAAATAAATAAATAAATAAATAAATAAATAAATAAATAAATAAATAAATAAATAAATAAATAAATGAGTAAATAAATAAATAAATAAATAAATAAATAAATAAATAAAGGCATAACTGATCCTCCACTTGTCCTTAAAGCTAGATAAGAAATTCGTGTTTTCAGATAGCAGGTGCCCGTGGCGTTGATCATAGAAGTGTGCTGTTTGAACCATTTTGACACGCTGCTTGCCTTTGTAGTGCTTGGTGTGGAACGCCTCAGCCTATTTTTCATGAATGCGCTTTTGGTAAATGGGTTTGTGGACTCTCCGCCATGAACATTTCGCTCAATGTCCTGTCAGGCTGACCTCATTAGTTTGTTCTTCCAAAAATATTATAAACCAACTAGCCGAGCAAGCTACACATGTGGTGTCTTTTTCGAAACCCGGTTGCGAAAAATCGGTATCAATAGCTAGTTGAATAAAGGCCGAGATAAAAACTGCTGAAGTAAACGCAGATTACTTGGTTTGATAGCGCGGCGTGGAGCATCGCACGGCGTGCAAGATAAAGCACGTTGAAAATACAAGCCCACGCTTCAGTGTTTTGTCCGCATTCATCTTCTGTGCATTACTTCACAGTTTACACAAACTTAATTTACGGTGATCACCATTTCGTACATATTGTTGATTGATTATGTTTGATAGAACATTTTGTATAATAATTGTCATTTTCCTTTTCTTTGTAACTATGCTCTAAACAGCTAGTCTTTCCTCAGTTATAACAATATCTTCCATACACATCGCGCTTCTACCTTGCCCGTCCCCAGTTCTGCCTCCCACCCTTCGCATTTGAACTGTCTTTGTTCTTCGACTCGCTTGCCCAGTCATAATATGAATATTCCAGTACCGACTTTCCACACCTTTCATCATTGTTCTAAGCCCGCCTCACTTATTACAAATTCTCGTCAGCTCTAGAATATGTCGACAGCCCTCCCCAAACACCACCGTTGGCGCTCACTGACTGGGATTCGCTGAAATAAAGAACTCAAACGTATCTTAAACTTCACGTTTAATCTAATCCAGCCTTATTAGGGGCAGTCGAGAAGTTTTTTTATAGTCAACTTATTTAACTTGAAATGGCAGGCGAACCAATTTCGATGCGTTTGCGAAGTGGACAGAATTAATGCCAGACTGGTGACAGAAAGCGCAAAATAAACGTAGGTAAGCTGAACAAAAAAGTTATTCAAATGGCGTGCCCAGAGAGAGGGAATAAAACATTTATTTGCGACTGAGGAAGGAATGTTAGTGAGTGGGATCTTTAGTCTGGGATCCCATTGGCACGGGCCGCTGTCCTTGCTCGTCTCACGAGGGCCTCTTGGGTCTTCGGCATCGAGCTGGACAGAGCTGCCTCCCACCCTACAGTGTTGTGCTGTGCTCTGGGTTGTAGAGCAGGATTATGTGGGCATTTCCATACTATGTGGTACAGGGTGGCTGTTTTAGTGGCGCAGAAACTGCACAGTGGTGCGTATGGGTCGGGATCCATCTTTGACAGTATGTATGGATTTGGGCAAGACAAGGTCTGCAGGCGACGCCACGCCACCTGTGATTCTTTACCGAACTTTGGCCCCGGGGACGGAAGTTTCGATCTTTCGAGTCTTTGACGTTCTAGAATATCTGTCCATGTTAGGAGCGGGTCCATACACATAGCCGAGGGTGGGCGCGATATGCCGGAGTTGGAGGTCCGGAAGAGTAATTCTCGGGCCAAAGTACGGGCGAGCTTATTGCCTTTTGCTCCGCAGTGACCGGGTATCCATATCAGCTGTTTCCATTCGCCCTCTGAGCGTGAGGACGAGAGTTAGTTGTGTGAGAAATCGATGCGCAATGGGGCCAATGTAGCATTTACGAAAATTTCAGCAGTCTGCTTTTGAATGTGTTAGAATGAAGGTGGACTTTGGGTTTCGTAGGGCGAGGGCAATTCCTGATTCTTCCATACTAGTTGTGTCTCTGTCCTGTCCTAATATACAATGAACCTGTTTTTCACAATGAATGACGCTTTCCATATATTTGCCGTTCACTTGTCGAGTTGCATCGACAAAGAAGACGCCCTCAGTATCTGAGTAGTTGTCGTGAACTTTTGTTCGTGCCGGACCTCGATGTTCGTGGAACTGAGGATGCATGTTGCGTGGTAGTGGTTTGATGATGAAGTCCTGCCTCCATTCTGGTGGTATACGTATCAGAACTATTCCATGCACACCGCACGAATCAAGTCATACGCCTAGTCATCACCAAAACAGAACGGGAAACACTAAGAGAATTTGGCATCGAAGTCCCCATTGAGAAAAGAGGAAAACAACGTATCCCACATGAATTGCGCGCCGAAAGAGCACGTCGGCGGCGGCGGGCCGATCGGTTGGCGTCGGCAGCAGCGACGTAGAAAAAAACAGTCGGGGCTGGTGCACCGACTACTCGGCGCCAAAAAGGTTCTATACTATGTCTTCTGGAGTGGAGGTGCGCCCCGATGATAAGTGACGCCGGTCGCCGCCATATTGAAAAAGGAAATACTCGGAAGCATATGACACAGTGCACTTCGTAGCTCCGCCCTCGCTGTGGCTTTTGGAGACTGTGACATGCATTTATAAAGCAGACAAAGATTTTACAAGGTCATGGTGACTTCGTGCGTTGCTTATGGCTGCACAAATCGCATCAAGAATATGCCTGGGATCGCTTTTCTCGTGTAATTGTTCTCGCTTTGTTCGCTTACGATCACCTGTTTTTTCGCGTGTTTTGTTAAATTAGAAGCAAAATCAAAGGTGTGCATGCGTGTAATACATGCGTATAGCTGTATGGAAGGTAACTTGAAGCTTTAAATGCTCGCTGACGCGACATTGTCTCAGAGTTTTAAGCTTATTGACGAAGGACTTGCGGTCTGTGGCTGCACGTATCAAACATTGGAATGAGTAAGACGTCTGAAGGCACTTTAAATTCTAAAATGTTGCTTTACTAGGCAAGACTGATGGCGTGCATGCATATTTTTTGGCGAGTGAATATCGAATTTGGTGCATGTTTATCGACGCATTCGCAAACGTAGAGAACAATTCCGTGCGTGATTATCCATGTTACAAGTTTCCGAAAGACAGAGCGCTGCATTCTGCCTGGGAACGTGCTGTTCGAAGAAATAGTTGGAGGGCTACGGACAGTGACCACCTCTGTTCTATTCAATTCGAAGAATGCCGCTTCGGCAGAACGGGGCAGACAACGAGACTGCGGCCTGGCAGTGCACTTTCGATTTTTCCTGTTTTCCAAGCACATCTGCAAAAACCTGTTAGTTTCTAGCTCCTTGACGTAGCTTCAATAGAATGTAGTCCCAAAAATAAGCAATTGCGTCTAAAACAAGATGAGACACGTACCTTTCAAATCCATTCCATATTTTTCGACAAACCGAAACCAAAACGCCGATAGACGAAGTTGCCAAAATGAGTGAGTGGCGTTATATCAAACATCGAGCTACCTCGTTTCTAGGCTCTGAAGGCTGTGTTTGCCATGGCGAAACACGTCACAACGGAAGTTGATAAATATTATGCATAACTAACGCTACTGCAATCGTTCTTATTGTCACTATTTGGTGCGCGTTCATGAACCTGGAAGGGCTGGGGTACCCTCCAGCAGAGTGACGACCAGCTACGGCTAGTGGATGGTGACTGACCCCCGAGCGGCTGTGCTCGGCAGTGTTTATTGAGTCCGCCGTGCCCAATGCTGCCCACTAAGCCTGGTGGGGCTACTCAACCTAGCGGCCAACAAATATCAGGAAAAGGGGGGTGCAACACGATTGTCACACCCCTCACCCCCTAGTTTGTTTGTCCACACAAACACAAGCAACAGTCAATCCGGCGAGTAGCGGTCTGGCGGTCTCCGGTGCCTCGCACTCTGCCTCAGCAAGGGTGTCGCAGGTGTGGCCGCATCAGGCGCTGCCTGCGTCGCTGTCGCACTGTCTGCCCACCTTGCTGGTGACCCCGTACTTGCAGGCGGCGTCACAGTGGTGCGAGTAGCGCCAGCCCCTGGTGCTGTGCTGGCATCGGTCACTGCACTTGGCTTCCCTGCCTGCTGGCTTCCTGAAGGGGTGGCGGCTGAGGTCGCCAGGCGAAGCCTCACATGGTCAGCATGCCGGTGCCACGTGGTCTCGTTCGACATGCGAACGAGCAGTGACGATGCAATGGCTGGAGAGACCACGTGCCCGGCAGACCAGGGTGGACCAGGCCGGAAGTTCCTGGCGATGACCGGAGCTCCGGACTCCGGCAACGGCCCAGGACGGAAACTTCGGTCAGCCGCCAGCTTCTGCTTGAGCTGCTTCAGGAGTGCTGTGGACCGGAGGTCGGGGTGCAAGACGTCCAACGGTGTCTTCACCATCCGGCCCAGCAGAAGCTCACAGGGGGCATGGCCCGTGACGTCGTGGGGTGTGGTCCGGTACTGAAACAGGACTCGGGCAACCTACGTCCGGAAACCCCCACCCTTGCTCTTCTTTAGCTTATATTTGACTGTCTGTACCACCCACACGGCAGCACCATTCGACGCGGGGTGGTACGGCGGAACCATCCAGCGGATGCCGTTCTTCGTCAGCCAGGCCAGATACTCCTCGCTGGCGAAAGCAGGACCGTTGTCGGACACGATGACGTCCGGCAACCCCTGGGCTGCGAAGACTTGCCGCAACGCCGCAGTGGTGGCTTCTGCCGACGGAGTGGTGTCTGACAGTACCTCCACCCACTTGGAGAAGGCGTCCACCACCACCATGAAGTAGTGGCCCTTGAAGGGGCCCCCGAAATTCACGTGCAGGCGGGACCCCGGCTTCTAAGGGAACGGCCAGGGGGTGATCTCCACATGGCGTGGGGCTCACTGGTTCTCCTGGCAGACCTGGCAGTCTGCACCATGCGAGCGATGTCCTGGTCCAGGCAAGGCCACCACACGTGGGACCGGGCCACCATCTTGGTCTTCTCTACGCCTGGATGGCCCGCATGCAGCAACTGCAGGACCCTGGACCGCAGGCTCTGCAGAATCACCACCCTGGAACGCCACAGCAGGCAGCCCTGCCGCAGGCTCAGCTCGGCGGACTTATGGCTGTACGTCCTCTCAGCCAAATCCTCCCCTCGGGACACCGCCTTGACCACCAGTGACAGGACCGGGTCCCGGCTGGTTGCCTGCGACACTGCCGATCTGTACAGCACCTCCGGGTAAGCGTGCTCCAGCATGAACACTTCAGCAGGTTCAGGAACTGCAGCAGGCACCTCCGGCAGGGGCAGTCGGCTCAGAGCATCAGCAGGTGCAAGGTCCTTCCCCGGGCGGTAGACCAACCGCTGTAGGCCGCGAGCTACAAAGCCCAGCGCACCACTCGAGGTGACGCCTGCACTGGAACCGCCTTGTCGGGCCCCAGCAGTCCCAGCAGCGGCTTGTGGTCCGTGACAGCCTCGAACCTCTGGCCTCACAGGTACTGGTGGAAGCGCTCGACCCCAAACGTGAGGGCCAGGCCTTCCTTGTCCAGGTGGCTGTATCGCTGTTCTGCAGCATGAAGCCGACGGGACGCGAATGATATGAGGCGTTCCTGGCCAGTCTTTTCCCGGTGGGCCAGGACGGCTCCCACACCGTACAGTGACGCATCCACCGTCAGGACGACCGGCTTGGCCGGGTCGAAGTGCACCAGCAATGGAGCCTTGGTGATAAGCTCCTTGCTGCGCTGGAAGGCCAAGTCCTGTTCCTTCCTCCAGGCCCACTGCTGTCCATCTCGAAGCAGAAGATGGAGTGGCTGCAGATGCGACGACAGGTTCAGCAGGAAGGTCCTGTAGAAGTCGATGAGGCCGAGGTAGCTCTGCAGCTCTCTCTTGTTCTGGGGCTTGGGCGCCTTGAGCACCGCTTCAACCTTGCGAGGAGCGGGGGCCAGGCCTGCCAGAGAAATGACATGGCCTAGGTACTCAACGCTGGGGGCTAAGAAGATGCACTTCTCCAGCTTGAGCTTCAGCCCGGCATCCTGCAATCGTGCCAGGACGCTGTGTGGGTTCTGCAGGGGGTCCTCGTCATCTCTACCGGTCACCAGGATGTCGTCCAAGTACACCACCACGTGTCTCATGCCCCTGAACAGGTTGTCCATCTCCCTCTGGAAAATGGCAGGAGCTGAGGCCACGCCGAACGGTAGGCGCGTGTACTAGAATAGTCCCAGCGTTGTCGATATGGTGACATACTTCCGGGACGACTCCTGGGGCACCAGCTGCCGGTACGCATGTCTGAGGCCGAGCTTGGTGAACTTCTGTCCCCCGGACAGCGCCGACCAAAGATCTTCAATGCGTGGCAGCGGGTACTTCTCCACGGTAGCGACGGGGTTGATGGTGACCTTGAAGTCACCGCAGATCCTTACACTGCCGTCTTGCTTGAGGACGGGCACAATGGGAGCGGCCCACTCTGAAGACTTCACGGGCACCAAGACGTCGTCTCGCTGCAACCGTTGCAGCTCCTGCGTGACCCCGTCCTTCAGGGCGAACAGTAGCGGGCGCGGCTTGAAAAACCGGGGCTTGGCTCCGTCTGGCACATGATTGCTCGCCGCCGTGCCGGTGTATGTGCCCACCCCTGGCTGGAACAGGGCCTTAAACTTGGTCAGGAGGCTCGGGACGTCTTCCACCGCGCGTACAGCTTCCTGGTACTCCGGCAGCCACAAACCCAGTGCCTGGATCCAGTTCCGGCCAAGCATCGTCGGGGACGGCCCCTTGGTCAGGTACAGGGGCAGAGTGGCCTCCCTGTCGCCAAGGTGGACGCTGACCTGGGCTTGACCCTCGACCTGGGCGAGCTGTTTGGAGTAGCTGCACAGCATGACGCCCGATGCCTCGACTGGCACGCCAGGGAAGGTGCGCTTGAAGGCCTTCCCGGCCATCACTGACACACTGGCCCATGTGTCCAGCTCCATGGAAATGGGACGCCCGCAGGTTTCGACGGTCAGCATATACGGTGACACAGACGACTGACACATGTCCGTGTACGACACGTCGAAAATCTGCGGGTCTTCGGCCACGACGTGAAGCCTAGCCGTGGCACCCGAAGCTGCTGCCGCACGCCCCCGCCGCCTCCCCTTTCGTCGACTCACTTGGCCGTGGGCTGGCACGGAACACGAGCTCGACGACGGCTGCTTCCGTCCGTCGGTCGTGCCCCCTCGGCACGCCCGAGCAATGTGCCCAGTCCTTCCACACGCGAAGCACTACGCTTCCGCGAACTGGCACTTTGAGGGGGGTGGTCGCCACCGCAGCGACTGCACTTGCCACACCGAGTCGCCATCTTGTTCACCGCGCTTCCGTCGATGGTGAGCGGGCCGCACGTGCTAGCTCGCTCGCGTCCTTGGCCGCAGCTTCCATCGCCAGTGCTGCCTTTACCGCGTCGTCAAGCGAGGGGCCGGGAAGCTCCAGGAGTCGCGTCTGCATGGCGGGGTCGTTGATGCCGCAGACGAAACGGTCCCGGAGCAGCGAGTCGAGCTGCTCCCCGAAAGTGCAGCCACTCGCTAATCCTCGCAGTGCTGCGACGAACTGCCCGAGCGTCTCTCCGTCTCGGTGGCTCCGGTTGTTGAAGCGAAAGCGCTCCATTAACGTCGACGGGGCCAGGCGGAAGTGCGAGCGTAGCGTCGCGAGGAGCTCACCTAGCGACTTGTCATGCAGCGTGGCTGGTTGGAGCAGGTCGAGCAGGAGCCCGAAGACGCGGGTCCCGCAGCTCGCCAGGAAGATATCACGCTGTTTTTCCACGGGGGTGTCGTTCGCCCGAAAAAACACGCCGACCTGTTCCTCGTAGACTGGCCAGGCGGACCCATCACCCTGGAACGGCTCGAGCCTCCCGTAGAGCGGCATAGCGTAATGGCGGCCGACGTGGGGGGCGGTGTCGGCGTTCTCGGTTGCTTCGGTTGCTCCGCGGGCTTCTTTCCTCGTCGCCAGTGTCACGATTTGGTGCGCGTTCGTGAACCTGGGAGGGCTGGGGTACCCTCCAGCAGAGTGACGACCTGCTACGGCTAGTGGACGGTGACTGACCCCCGAGCGGCTGTGATCGGAAGTGTTTATTGAGTCCGCCGTGCCCAATGTTGCCAACTGAGCCTGGTGGGGCCACTTAACCTAGCGGCTAACAAATATCAGGAAAGGGGGGGGGGGTGCCACATGATTGTCACATTTATAGACGGTTCATTTAGGGTACGTCTCCTGGAGTTTGTCAGTTGCACACGACATCGGTGCTTCGGTATTGGCTCCGCCTGTAAATTGGTTAGAATTCAATACCTCTAGAAAAGTTACTGGTGCCTCCCAGTTTATTTAATTACCTCTAGTTTTTACATTTAGGTTTAATTATTTCAACTTTCTTATATATATTGTGTGGTAATCTGCCGACACACACACACATGCACGTATATCAAAGAGGTGAGCAAATGTCGCAATTCCCTTGATCTTGAGCAACGTTACTAGATAGCTTTAGTTGTAAAACTCTCCCCATGCGCCGTGCGCCACCGGCGTCTTCGTTTCTCGGCGTGCCGCGAGAGGGCGGGACCGCCGCATTTTGCTCTACCCGGCCGCTGCTCATCGCGTGCAACGGCACTTCTCCCAACGCCGCCTCGGCCTTCTCATGACGTTAGCGCATGATAACATCAAAGATTACCCGCTACCCGTCAAGTTGTTCGCGTCCAGACTACATCTAGGCCAGAGAACTTTCCAGTAGCTGCTCAGGATCACTTAATGTGGGGCAGAAAAGCCGTCCGTTACGGCTCATTGCATTGCTTTCTACAACAGGTCAGCCGAAGCGCATCGTAGTTTGCGCGCGCTTGCATCGGCTGCTCGCCGGAAGTCAACCACGAGCGTGAACGGTCTGCCGCAAGCTGGTAGCATGGAATAAGCCTCCGTTAAAACTTATTTTGATTCTCTCTTCCGAATTTTATAAAAAATCACGAAACCGCTCATTTTGTTTCCAGCCAAAGAAGCAAGGTCGCCATTGGAGCTACGTAATTTAGTGGCTCTAGTAATTATGGCCACTCGAAGACGAAACTTCCCAATTGTCTCGACGTCCTTTTTGGAATAGTACCTTTTCCATGTCTTGCCCTGACAACAGTTAGCTTTACCAAACGCCACCAAGAAGCGACATTTCTGCAAAAGGCAAAATAGCTTTAATTGAAAGAATAATTGAGTCAATTAACTGACGAAATTAAACCAGCTTACATGTCAATAAGCATAATGTTCTTTTCAGCAATTTATTGGTTTTCTTCACAGTGCACACTTTACGGCAGACACAAAGTAGAAAAATATATGCAACGTTTTTTTTTAATTTACAATCAACTCCACACCTTTTTTGCTTGAGGTGAATATTGCTACAATATACCAAAGCATGTTAAGAGAAACAAAGTAAGTAATGAATAGATACATGCAAGCATTTTTATTTACAAATCGACTCCACATCTTTGTTGCCTACGGTGAATATGGCTACAAAATACGAAATCATGTTGACAGAAAAAAAGTAATGAATAGATACATGTATGCAAGGTTTTTTTTTTCATTTACAACAAACTCTACAACTTTGCCAGCGTGCTTACAGCAGCTTAGCGCGTTTGCGCGCCGACTTGACCTACACATTCAAGGCACGCTCTCGCTGAAGGAATCTGGAATAGAAATGCATGTGCGTCACAAAAAAAAAGCTTCTTATCCGGTGAAAGCTCCTTATCCGCACGCGGGATGGCCTTAATTCAAAGCGAGCGAAGCGTCGCATCTTTGGGAGCCGAGAAGAAGTGCCTGTCCGTG